TTTAGCGCGGTCAAGGCGTCTATCGTGGAAAGATTTAATCGCACGCTAAAACAGCGGATGTTTAAAGAATTCACTAGCAGGGGTTCACRCGACTGGATCACGATTCTACCCTCGTTAATCGATGACTATAAAGGTGGAAACAGACTATTGTCACGTCACGTGAGCTCACGTGCTATCACATTAACACATTTAAACCGTGATGTCACGTTTGGAAATACACTACTGTCACATTTTCTATTGTCATGCTATATCACATCACAGTATATAGTCGGTTGTCCACCATTATACCCAAGGGTTGCGTGTTTTTAATTAAAATGGATTGTGGAAGTTCAAGTAGTTCATCGGGTTGGGAAGAGGAGTTGGAAGCTGTAGCTGCTTTTGTAGTTCTTAATGAAGAAKAAAATAAAACAAAAACAAGAGAATGGGTCCATGCAATTAATAAAAAAAGAGAAACTTTGGGYGAGTTTCATAGACTTGTTCCGGAATTAAAAAAAGATACGAAACGATTCCATATGTATTTCCGGATGACGATGGAAGAGTTTGATTTTTTATATGAACTCATTAAACCAGACATATATAAACAAAATACTCAATTTAGAAGAGCCGTCAGCACAGAAGAAAGATTAGCTGTTTGCTTAAGGTACGTAATAATAATTATAAAATATAACCATAATATCGGTATTAAAATTATAAATATTTTATTTAATCATTAACTACTAGAATAGAATACAATTTTTTAATTTTTTAAGATACAATTTTTTTTATGTGAAATATTAACTTTTGCTTAATTATAACAAAAAAAGATAAATACTTAATTTATTGGTACTGTGATTGAGGAAGAGATACCATTTCAAGTACGGTCATTCTGTTGTTCGTTTCGGGATTCGTTGAATATTCGCCACTGGAATATTCTTGGCTTAGAGCTGGCGATGGAGATGAGGCAAATGATTGAGGTTGTATAGAATAGGGATAGGGAGTCGACGAAAATGATTGTTGGTTGCATCTTATTTCTGCAGATAGTACAGAATTACTCAACTGAAGTTTAATTTGGGATTRTTCCACTTTTGGCAACTGCTTCGTCATTCTTGACATGCTTAAAAAAAACAAGTCAGTATCATCAAGTGTATCTAAAACACTATCTGGCTTAATTGCAGCCTGATGTGTTTTTTTTTCTTCGTGTTGGCGTTTCCTTAAAGCCGAACTTTCCTTTATAAGTTCCACCAATTGTCCTGCTGGAGTTGTATGTTGATTTTGTTTTTTAAAACGTTTTAACGTTTCTACTGGTTCGTTGCGTTTCTCAAGAATATCAGATTCCTTAAAAGCTGAATGGAAATCTGAAGTTTGGTCGGCTTGAGAGTCTTGTTCGTTTTCTCTATTCAGTGGACTAAAAGATGCGAGATCTTCTGCTTCAGACTCTTCTGATAGATTTTCAGGTTCAGCAAATAAGTTAGTCTCGTTCAAATTTCCTTGCGTCCTTCAAAAGAAAAATATAGATTATAATATAATATAATATATAAAAACAAAAAAAATTTGTAATGTTGATGGCAATCCCAATATCAATACAGTAAACCCTCCCTTAACGAACACCTCTAAATAACGGACAAAATTACGGTGGCCGTGAGTGTCCGGTATTTAGAGGTCTCACTGTACTTACTTTCTACTTTCTAAAAAAGGTATGATAAATGACATTTGCTGTTCAAATTTCCAAGATGATTTCTTTTTGTAAGCTGAACCACTTTTTGATTCATCACGACGTCTGTTTCTTGCATTACAAAAAGATCTCCTTAAGTTTTCCCASCGTTGTTTTGCTAGATTTCCTGAATAGAAAATATAAAAATTATATTATTATTTATTAAACTATTTTAATTTATTTTCAATATTTTTATATTTAGAATCTAAAGTTAAAAATTATTTATATTAATCCTCTTTTTTTTCAGATTTTTAGCAACAGGAAATAGTTTTAGAAGTATTGGATTCAACTACAGATTGGGATTCAGTACGGTTCGAGAAATTGTAAAAGAAGTCTGTGATGAAATATGGAATAGATTGGAACCAATCGTAATGCCACCACCCACAGAAGAAATGTGGAAAAATGTTGCAGCAAAATACAAAAAAATTTGGCATTTCCCAAATTGCATCGGTGCTATTGATGGCAAGCATATTAATATCCAATGCCCCATTAATGCCGGATCTACTTATTATAACTATAAAGGTAGTCATTCAGTTGTACTTTTAGCACTTGTTGATGCAGACTATAAATTTATTGCAATTGATGTCGGCTCATATGGACGGAATAGTGATGGTGGAATTTTTTCTCAGTCAGTAATTGGTCAAAAGTTGAATAATAAGACACTCAATGTTCCAGAGCCAGCCCCTTTAACAGAAAACGGAGATCCTCAGCCTTATGTCATTGTTGGAGACGAAGCATTTCCATTAAAGAGTTATTTGCTTCGCCCATACAGTAGAAACTATTTAGGGGATAATGAGCCCAATAAAATATTCAACTACCGATTGTCACGAGCAAGACGCGTTGTCGAGAACGCTTTTGGAATATTGGCCGCTMGTTGGAGGTGTTTCCGTGGGCACTTAGAAGTACAACCAGAATTTGTAGATAAAATTGTGCTTGCATCGTGCTGTCTGCATAACATGTTATGTGCAGACAATGCGTTTGAACCCGATAATGAATCATTACAACTTCCAGAAGCAGCTTTATTGAATTTAGATCCTCTAAGAAGAAATAGCACTCGTGAAGCGTTTCAAGTACGAGAAAAATTTAGAGATTATTTTAATTCAGATGCTGGYAGTGTTGTTTGGCAGGTGGAACGTGTTCGAAAAGGAAGAATTCATTCTTAATTCATAAATATTAAGCTATACGTGTTTTAACATAACTTATTATTATATAGCCATCAGTTAATTTTTTTATTATAAAACAAGACGTAATAAAAGTTAAAATTAAATTCGCATATTCTCGTTGTGCTTATATTGTATTAAATATTGTCATTATCTAAATAAAAATATGTCGATGTAATATTTGATTATTTTTGTATAAACAAAATGTGGATTGAAGAAATATAATATGATTGCGTATAATAATGTATGTAATAAGATTAGATTAATCTAGTGTATATTATTAGACTTGTTTTCTACACAAAACGCTGGTATACACGTCTGATAAAGTATTTACTTATTTCACTACTAATATTTAATATACAATTGACAAATTACATTATACTAGTTGTTTAAGTAATTAATAAGTCATATACCAAATAATTAATATAATTAATATAATTAACATTTAAAAGTTATATTTATCATACCTGATATTTTTAACTCTTTTCCAATTTCTTCCCATGCGGTTTGACGTTGCTGTTGATCACGATAATCACGTGAACCATGATTATACAGGGCTTCATGATCCCYTACTTTTTCTATTAAAAGCTCGTCCATTTGGAAAACTTAAAATATTTATTTCAGAACTCCGGAAAAAAATTATTGAATATAAACTATATAAAYGTGAGGTAACGTGAGTCGAAAATGTGTAAACTTTCAGAAACAAAAACCGTGCTGTCACGCGTGAGGTTGGTAAAGTGACGTGATACGTGTGACGTGACTTCAGTGTGGTTCTGACGTATTTAAATACTGTGTATTCTACATAATCTACACATTTTCCGCGTGACGTGAGATACCGTGATAGCACGTGAGCTCACGTGACGTGACAATAGTCTGTTTCCAGCTTAATAATTCTACGCATAGGACTATCGGTATGACGCCGGTGCAGGCTGACGCCGACCCGACACGTGTTGAACTAAAATACGCTGTAGAAAAAACCGGTAAAATAAAATTTAGCGCCGGAGACAAAGTACGCATCAGCGTGTACAAGGGTGTTTTCACCAAAGGATATTTACCGAATTGGTCTACGGAAATATTTACTATTATTAAAGTGAAWAAGACTACGCCGAGCACGTTTACGCTACAAGATTATACGGRTAGACCGATCGCCGGCGGGTTTTACGCCGAAGAAATACGCAAAACAATGTTGCCCGACGATTATCTGGTGGAAAAAGTAATTCGCACAAAGGGCCGGCGTGTATTCGTTCGATGGCTAGGTTTTACGG